TCCCCACACCTCCCCCAGCTCTTTGTTTTGCTCTCTGGCTCCTCATTGTCCAACTGCAGGTGTCAGCCCTGTGGACCTGCTGCACTCCTCCCTCCCTGCTCTCTGTTCCTTATCTTGTGGACATCAGGATAAATCCCTTGCCCTGTCAAGGGGTACAAAGCTGAGCTGGGAAGTGGAAGTCTGTGGGAGATTCCTTCCTTCTATACACGAAGTCTGAGGCCCCTGTCCTGGGCCTGGGGTTTCTTGGCTCTCCACGGATGCTCCTGAGGCTTCACTCCAAGAAGCTGCCACACAAAGACGTGCCATGAGGTTTTTTTCAGGGTGTGAATTTCATAGAATCACAGCATGGTTTGGGTCAGAAGGGGCCTTAGAACCCGCTCAGCCCCAAGCTCTGCCACAGGGACACCTCCCATAGTGCCCAAAGCCCTTCCCAGCTCTCCAACCAACACATTCTCTTTCGAAAGGTTACCGTGCATTCACCGAGGCCAACGATGGAAGCATGTGTCTTGTCATGGAGTTTGGAGGAGAAAAATCTCTCAATGACTTAATTGAAGAAAGAAACGCAGCTCGTTTGGGCCCTTTCCCTGCTGCAACGATTTCCAAAGTTGCCTTGAGCATGGCAAGGGGGCTGAAGGTACGTTCAGTGTAAACCACAGCTGTTCCACGTGGGGTTGCATCTACCAGGAAAATAAATGAATGCAATGTGCGAGAAGGCCGAGTGCCAGCAGATGGAGAGCAGATGCTGTAACACTTTGTGGAAGGCACTGGAGCTTTTCTAACCTGGGTGCTGTGCACACTCAAGTGCCCCTCTCACTCCAGAAGCTTGTGATCAGAGTCATATTGGACGTGAAGCAGCAGTTGTTGGCACACGTGTCCTGCTGGCTCCATGCTGCCTGCCTGTCTGCTCGCTGCCAGCTCCATGCTGTGCCAGGCTCCTGCAGAAAGCTGCTCTTGCTTAGCAGTGACAGCCAGCTGGTGCCACTTGTGCACCTCCTACTGCAGCATTGGAGCTGCTCCTGCATGTATCTACTATCTATTTGGGTAGGGCTGTGTCAGAAAGAGCAGCAGTAGGAGATATTTTTCATAGTATGATTTACCTTGTAACAGAAGAAGTAGGGATTGTGCCTGCCCTTCACAAGCTCAGCAACTGACTTCCTTTTGTTATCCTCTAGCAGCAGCTCTCTATAGCTGGGAACTGCTGCAAGGCTGGACAATACCTTTAAGCTGACTGATACTGCCAAGGTAGAATTCAGTATTTTATGTCCTCCTGGACACAAGGAGGAGCAGAGATTTGGGATTGCCTATGAAAAATTCTCTCCCAGCTCTGCCTGCAACCTGCAGTGCTCCCACAGGGCTCTGGGGTGCTTTGGGGAAACCTCCAAAGGAAGCAGAGGGATTGGGTGGCCCCAGCCCAGCAGGCTCCCCATAGGCATATTGGTTTAGTAGGCAAGATGGTGATGGATTTACATTTGGACTTGATGATGTTGGAGGTCTTTTCCAACCTTGATGGCTCTGTGATTCTACAAGTGGGCATGGTAGTGCTGGGTCAATGGTTGGACTTGATCTTCGAGGTCTTCTCAATCTTTAATGAATCTATGAATGTTTGTAGGTGTTAATTGCTTCTCTCTGCCTCCTAGTACCTTCACAATGACAAGAAGCTGCTCCACGGAGATATCAAGTCTCCCAATGTTGTTGTTAAGGGTGACTTTGAAGCCATCAAGATCTGTGACGTGGGAGTATCCCTGCCCCTGGATGAGAACCTGACTGGTAGGTTGGGCCATGGGGAAGAGCAGCTGGGTGGCTGCCAGAGCCTGGCCACAGCAGCAGCACCAACACACCCTTGTTGTTCCTTGGGGGGTGTTGGGTGCATTTTATGGGGTGAAGGGGCTCTCACAAGGCCCAGATCTCATCCCTCAGAGCTTGTTGTCCTGTACCCTTCCATGTTCACCCTGTGGGCAGCAGTGCTGTTGTCTGGGGGATGCTGGATGAGGCCCTGCTGGACTCTGCTGAGGCAATGCTGTTGCCAGAGCTTAAAGTAAATGAATGTTTCTTGTAGGGCTGGAAGGAAGCATGAGCCAAATGCAAGCATTATAAAGACTTCATGTAAATGAGAAGCAGATGTCTAATGGCGTCGTGGCTTGGCTGTGAACAGCAGGAAATGTGTTTGGGTTAATTACAAGAATGCTTTCCTATGCTGCTTTACACAGTGCTTGGGCCTGCAACAGCCTCATAACTTAAAAAGCTGCTCTATTACTTTTTTATTAGTAGCTGTTCCCTTTTATAAGGAGCAAGAGAGCTGGAGGCAGCGCCCCAGTGTAATCTTCCAGACAGGAGTGTGGTTAAAGTATCGATTTCCATTTAACCATCCTCTTGTTCAGCCCTCATCTTGGCTTTGCCTCCTCCTGGTCTCGAGGAGACAGCATACACTGCCAGCAAGAGGATGCTGGTCCTGTGTGGCTGCCAGGGACCAGCACGCATCGGGCTGCGAAGTGCTGAGGGATTTCAGCATTCCCTTCTGGTTACAGGCCAGGGCTTGGAAGATGAGCACTGAAATAAAGGTTCTGGAGTAGCTGAGATTGCTGGCAGCTCAGGAATTTGCTAGAGAAAGCTGGGGGAAGTTTGGCACTGTCCTGCTTGTAACTACTGGTTTGACCAACACGAATGGGGTGCGAGGGATCAAGTCAGACCTGGTGCTTCCTTCTCAGGTTGAAGCTGAGAAGCGAGCATTTCAGCTCTCCTGAGGCTAGTTGTGATCACCGAGGCATTAAATTGAACAAAGTGGTGAGAATTGGATTTGTGTTTGAATAAACCAAGCCCAACTGCGTGGCTGGTGGTGGCTGATGGAGCCTGGTGGACTCCAGGGGTTCATTTTGTTCCCCTGGCAAGGTCAGTGTGGCCAAAGGCAAAGGGGAAAGCTGACCTGGGGAGTATTGTCTCCTCCATTCTCCTTCCCCAGGGGCGCTAGGTTGAGGAAGGGAAACAACCAGGTATAAATGATGTAAAGGCTCTTTCTTGCAGGGCGTCTTATGGGAGGGCTAAGCTGCAGAGCACAGCCCTGACCCTCAGTGCTTCTCCCCCTGCATGCTGTCACATGCTCCTCTGTGACATCTCCTCCCTTGGAGTCTCTTGGTCTCTGCAGTCCCTCTGCAGTGTCAGGCAGCGAGCAGAGCTTGCCATGGGTCACAAAGTTTGAGGCCACACAGATGGGAAAGAAAAATGGCTTCGGTCCTCTGCAAAACCCCAACCTGTGATCCCACAGTTCTGTGGGTTCTGCATGCTACAAACAGGCTGAATCCTGGGGTGTAGTGAGCTGCAGCCACATCTTGCTGTGTCAGTCCTAGCAGCACCCCAAACTGCATTGATTCCTTGCAGTGAGTGACCCTACAGTGCACTACATTGGCACCGAGCCCTGGAAGCCCAAGGAAGCTCTGAGTGATGATGGTGTGATCACTGACAAGGCTGACATCTTCTCTTTTGGGCTGACTCTCTGGGAAATGATGACCCTGTCTGTGCCCCACCTCAACCTGGGCAGCAGCACTGATGATGAAGGTTTGTTTCTATATTTCTTACGATGGGTGCATTTGAAGTGGCTGGAAAAGACACACTAGAGCAAGTTTGCTGTGCTGAGGGCACATGGGAGTTGTTTCTCTTCTGACAAGGCAATGGGTAAAGCAGTTGGTGTTGATATGGGCTCTTCCTGCCTGCCCCAGTGAGGTTTGTGCCCTTATTCAGTTACAACAAGCACACGAGGCAGAGTGTGGGAGGAATGGGTGGGATGTGCAGGGACAGACCTGAGACAGAAGCCTGGGGGGAGTGTGCCCCAAAGCTAAAACCATGTGGGTTGGGCTCCTACTTGCTCCAGGAGTGCTGGTACAAACCAACACACTCAATTGCCAGGGCACCTTGCTCACATTCCTGGTGTCAGAGCCTGGTGTCTCCTGGCTGCAGCCCTTCCTCCCAGCCCCATTGTCCAGCATCTCCTTTCCTAATCCCTAAAGAAAGGGTGAAAGCTGGGCTCCAGCTGGGCCAGAGCCCTCAAATGTCTGCAGCTCACAGCACTGCACCCTTCCTGATGTGGTTGATGGTTTTTGTTTTATGGGTTTTTTGGTTGTTTTTTTTGGCCAGATGAGTCTTTTGATGAGGATGACTTCGATGAGGAAGCATATTATGCAGCTTTGGGAACCCGTCCAGCCCTGAACATGGATGAGCTGGACTCATCCTACCAGCAGGTGATTGAGCTCTTCTCTATCTGCACCAGTGAGGACCCAAAGAAGCGTCCCTCAGCTGCTCATGTTGTGGCAGTCCTGGAGGCAAGTCTGCCCCCAGAGCTCAGGGCCTGAACTCCTGTAGTTTGTATCCTTCTATGCTCTGTACTTAAAAACAGAGCCTAAACGTGTTAAATGATGACCCATCTTAGCACTGGAGAGCAGGGATTGCTAGTTCTAGAGCAATCCTCTCCAGCCTGCACTTTAGTTTGCGATAAGCTCCGTGTTCTTAATTGCTGTTAGCAGTTTAAAAATCTTTTCTATGTTTGTGTTGATTCAATCCTCTTCAGTTGGTGTTTTTGTAACAGGTATCAAATATACTTTCTTCTTTACCTTGGTGTGGAAGTGATATTCTTTCTGCAGAGGCTGCGAGTTGAGGATGTGGGTGTCCATGCCAGGTGCTGCAGGGTGGTGGTGGTCAGCACTCCCAGCTAACAGTGGGGCTACAAACAAGCTGCAGCCTGATGAAAAGGTTTCCTGATATGACAAGTTGCTGCACAGAATCCTCTATGGGTAAAAGAATGCTGGGAGAGGCAAAGGAAAAAAAAAACCCAAAACATTACATGTTTAGGAAATACCTGCACCTAGCTGGAGGTGGCAGCTGTACCACAGCTGGTCCTGCTCCCACGTGCAGCTCTTGGCAGTTGGAAGCTACTGCTTCCTCCTCCTCCAAACTGTAAACTAGGAGAGTTTCGTTTCCATACCCCTCTGTGCACAGAAATGAGCTCAAGCAGCAGCATTTTGAACAGTTTATTGAACAAGCAATCTCTGCAGCACAACACTTCAAAGGTTCCCAGACTTCGTGCACTGGAGGCTGAGGGAAACCCTGCCCCGTGTTCTTGTTGTCTGTATGCACAAATTTAGGGACAGCTTTCCCACCACTGCCTCTGCCCCAGCCCTTTACATTCAGCTCCTGCACGTTCAGCAGATAGTTTCAAGCAGCTTTCTCACAACAGTGCACATCAAACCCTCACAAGCCCCAGGATGTTCCCCAGCACATGCATGGAGAGTTCAAACACCCACACATCCAGGGAGAGAAACAAACAGTTTTATATTAATTCAAACTCTTAAAGAAATAAAGTTATTTGTAATAAAACTTCGATTTAGAAAGAAAATTATCTGCAATCCAAGCAAGCTTCCTTGCGTTCACAGCATCCACCACCAGTGTACAGAAGGTGTTGCCTTCCCACAACTGCAGGAAAAACGAGTGCTCAGCAGGAAGCCAGAGTTCACCAGGCCCTAACATTAAAGTGTTACTTTAAAAGCAACAAAGTCATGGTAAATGATTGGAGCTACTCACAGCTAGTGGTAATCAAGTCCAGTCAGTTGCCATAAACAAAGTTGTAGACGAGGAAGGTGGGTGTTTGGCAGTATTTGGTTGCAAACTGTTTGCCATCTGGTGTGGGGTCAGAGAAGGCAATTTCCTCAGTGCTCAGGTAGCTGCCATACATGAATGTGCTCCTGGGGGAGAAGAGAGCTGTCAGAGCCACGCTGTGAGCCAGGGGAGCATCACCCCAGCCCCCCTCTGCAGGGAGCTGACACAGAACCAAAACAGAGTGGGAGACCCTCCCTTCTGAAGCTCTGCTTTCAAACAGCAGAGGACAGTGCTGATGCCACTTTGCCCTTCTGGAGCATGGTTTAATTAGGAACCAGGAGCATTATACTGAATCCAGACCACTGAGGTCCCCATGGCTCAGGGCAGCACTGCCCACAGAGGGAGTGGGAAATGAGCACCAGTGATGGACTTTCAGAATGCTGAACTCAAACTATAGTGGAGTAGGTTGATATATTTATATATGTATGAAGAGATGTATGCATATCCATCCTGTGCACATTTATATTATGCATACAGTGGGTATATATTATGTATTAATGCTTACATATGACTACAGGCTCATGGGCCAAGCTGAGCCTGGAGGCAGACCCTAGGAACAGATTGAGGGGATGCTTCCTTGTTGTTTTACTTTTTTTTTTCCCTTCAAGTCCTCCTTCATGCTTCTCCTGAGCCAAACACACTTGAAAAGTTCAGAATTTCCTGCCTGGAAAAGACTTGGTGCTTGGGCCCAATTTGTCCAGTAAAATAACATTAAAAATACTCTTTCCTAACAAGCAGAGTTTCCCTTGGAAATTCCAGTCCTCGTAGCTGTGTGTTCCAGTTATACTCAGCCATAACAGCTCGGCTCACCTTTGTGATTTCAGATACACATCATTTAAGTACTACATAACAGAGTACCTGCCCACTTAGTAGCCCTCCACCACGAAGATGGGATTGCAGATGTGTCTGTACACATGAACGAACCACAGAATACCTTGAGTTGGAAGGGACTCCCAAGGATCACTGGGTCCAACCCCTGGCTCCACACCCAAACCCTGGGGCTGAGAGTGGTGTCCCAGCACACCCTGAGCTCCAAAACTGGGCCTGTGCCCACTGCCCTGGGGAGCTGCTCCATGCCCACTGCTCTCTGGGGCAGAACCTTTCCCTAGCCCCCACCTCACCCTCCCCCGATGCAGCTCTACGCCGTTCCTTTGGATCCTATCATTGGAGGAAGCTGCAGGCCGCCACGAGGCCTCTTCTCAGCCTCCTCAGGGCCAAACTAACGACAGGACAAAGCCTCTCTTGATTCTCTGCAATCCCTTCCTCCCTCTCCCAGTTCCCACCCCGCCTCAGCTCCATACCTGACCACGTCCACCAGGCGCCGTGCGATGCCCCTCCTGCGTGCGAGGCCGAACACCCAGATCCTGCTGACCCCACACACTGCAGGCTCCGGCTCCGTGGAGCAGCGCCATGCCCGCTGCTGCTGCAGGGCATCCTGCCCAGGGCTCTGAGTCGTGCTGGGCTCACACAGCACCCGGAAAGCCTGCAGAGATGAGTGGAAGCATTGAGCTGTTCCTCTCGGGGACACAGAGCCACCAAGTAACGCCAGCTGAACTTCCTGCTGCCTTTTACTGGCAGCCCGGTCTGCCGGTTGGCGACTCTGCACACAGCAGGGGTGTTGAGACCAGATGATCACTGCGGTCCTTTTCAACCCCAGCCATGATGTTACAGGGCAGACCAGCTCCTAAACCATGTGCAAGCTTGCTCAAGCACCAGCTGTGCAAACCCAACCCCTGCTAGCAACATCACCAGCTGACAAAAGCACAAGCTTTTCTTTAATTTTACTCTTCCTCTTCTTAATTTTACCCTTCCTCCTCCTTTGAAAGTTAACATTTCCAAAACACACCAAGAGCCCCAGTTACCAGCCTGCAGTTTCCCCCTCTCCTCACACAATTAACACACACCTGCTTAATTGATTCAGCCACCAGGCACCCAACAATCATCTTCTCGTTGGACACAAACAAGTAGGTTTTAGTCTTGGCTGGGCAACTCAAGGCAACTTGCTTGAAGCCCAGCTCATTATCTACAATCTCTCGCACGTCTTCTGCCTGAAACAAAAGGAGGGGTGCATTAGGTACCAGCATTCTTCAGCTCAGCATGAACCTGTCAGGAATGAAAGGAGGCTGTGGATGCCCCCTCCCTGCAGGCATTCAAGGCCAGGCTGGATGTGGCCTGGGCTGCTGGTTGGTGACCTGCACACAGCAGGGGGTTGGAATTGGATGAATATTGTGGTCCTTTTCAATCCAGGCCATTCTATGATTCTATGAAACTCATTTCCCCCAAATAATCCCATGCTTACATAAGGCCAGGATCCATGAAGCAGCCCTGAAGCACTCTGCAGCTTTACCTGACACCATTGGCTCTCACTGTACACACAGCTAATCTGGCAGGATTTTTTTGTTTTGTTATATTAAAAAGACAAAAAAACAAAAGAACAGGCTCTCACTAGCATTCTCATCTCTGTATCTCCCTCAGAGCACACCCACCGCTCACCTGAATCCATCAATACGTTGTATTGAATGTTTAAGAACAAGACCTTCAGCATGGAGAGGAGAGTCAGGATGAGCAACCACAGCAGCCTGCACTGCAGAAACACAAGCTGCCACGACCCATGGAAGCTGTGTGCCCCATCCTTAGAGGTTCCCAAGGCCACAGATGGGCTCTGCACAGCCTGAGCTGCTGGGGGCACCCAGCCAACGGCAGGGCGTGGGTCTGTAAGGTCCCTTCCAAAGCAGCCATTATGTGATACAGCGACCCTGCTCTGCCCTCCTGTAGGCCTTCTGCATTCCAAGCGATGTATGACTGTGTGAACTGAGGCATTCAGGGATCTGAGCCATGAAAAAACTAATCTACAATACAAACCCCAAAATAAACAAACATGTACCTTCTTGACTGCGTATTTTGGGTCATCTGGAAGAATCAATACGATTTTCCCATCCCAGAACTCTGCCACAACCCGTTCTTTCTTCCAACACTGCCACAGAGAGGGGGAGAAAAAAAAAAAACAAGTCAGTGGTTTAGCAAGAGAGGAAGTGATTCAGTGAAGACTCTGGCAGATGTAGCTGTAATTTGAACCACCTCAGCTTTCAGGAATAAAGTCAAATCACATTCATCAAACTGATGAACACAGTTGCTGGCACTGCACGCTACTTACACTTTAACCTCCCATCTGGCTGACAAAACAGCCTGCAGCTGTCTCAACTTAATACCTGGATGATATGTGCTGCTTCCTCTTTACTCAGAGGGCAGTGAGGCCCGGGCACAGCAGCCCAAAGAGCTGTGGGTGCCCCATCCCTGGAGATACACAAGGCCGTGGGTGGGCCCTGGGCAGCCTGGGCTGGTGGGGGGCAACCAGGGGTTGGAACTAAACCATCTTCAGGCTCCCTTCCAACATTCTAGGATTCTCCTGTGTCCTTCAGAGATGTGAATGCAGCTGAGGCCTTACCACATATCTGAGGCACTCGAGGAATCTCTCGTGGTACTGGATGTGTTGGGCTTCGTCCTCAGGGCTGGCAGCTGTGTAGATCATGCCACATGACTTGCAGGCAACGGTACCAAAATGCTTCTGTCCTGCATCCTAGTGAGAAACAGAGCTGGTTAAGCATGAATGACACGTGCTCTGAAGGTCAAAACCACATTTAGTTTAAAGGAATGAGGTTAAGAATTTGTTATAGCAACAATAATCAAAGATTAAAATATTTTGATTACATTTGGACTTTTGAGGAGGAGCGCAAGCTTTTGCTTATTTGTAGAATATTCAAGACTACCTAGCATAAAGTTGTTATATAAAGAATGCATTATTTGGAACAAGCCTTGAAACAGATGGGTCAGCAACATGCTGAGCAAACAATGTGCAAGAACACCACAAAACCAAAGGAAAACCATACAGCCCTTTTTTGCCAGTCACCTAAAATAAAAAAAAATAATAATAAAAAAACTTTTTTCATAGCTCTGTCAGGACACAGGGAGAAGGAACTGCATGTCAGCTGTGCAAGAACTTTCAATACCTGAAGGGACCATATAAACACGAGGGAGAATGGCAGTTTACGAGGGTAGATACTGATAGGACAAGGGGGAATGGTTTTAAACTGAGACAGGAGGTTTAGGTTGGATCTTAGGAGGAAGTTTTTCCCCCAGAGGGTGGTGAGGCACTGGAACAGGTTGCCCACGGAGGCTGTGGATGCCCCATCCCTGCAGGCATTCAAGGCCAGGCTGGATGTGGCTCTGGGCAGCCTGGGCTGCTGGCTGGTGACCTGCACACAGCAGGGGGTTGGAACTAGATCATAGAATGGCCAAGGTTGAAAAGGACTATAATGATCATCTAGTTTCAATTAGATGATCAATCAACCAGTATCAATCTTTGAGGTCCTTTTCGACCCATTCTATGATTCTATAAACAGCAAGTTGATGTCTAAGTGGTGACAAGAACTGAAGGCCCATTTGTTTAGAACTTGTTCTATTTTCCTGCACAGGCTGTTTGCCCTTCCCTGTGCCCTCTCAGTGCAGGCTGCCCTTGTCCCTCAGCACCTGCTATCCACCCCCTCTCCATCATGGCCCCAAGCAGAGCTGTACACTGACTGGGCTGGAGCTTGTGGTCCACAAGTCAGCCACACTCAGAACAACCAGTGCAGGGTAAATGCTGCAGCTGTCTTCATACTGCTGCTCTCATCTGGGTTTCTCTCTTCTGTGTACCCAGCAATCAGATCAGTGCTTCACCCTGAAGGGCAGCAGCAGCAGGAAGGCAGATGTGCTTCACAGCTCTGTGTTCACAGCCCCTGCTTATACATTTCCACGCTGCCTTGACTGCCATTTGCTGTTACAGTCGTCACAGTGTGGTTTGTTTGAGGCTTACATGTAAGGAAATCTGCTTATTGCTTAGCCTCAAGACATGTCTTATTTCCTTGTCACTGTGCCACGAGCCACCTCAAGGACCCAGCATCCTTACAATGATCATCTGATCGTTGGACTGCTTGCAGAGTTCTCTCGCTTTCTTGCTTTTCTGCACACCGTGAGGCATTTTTGCAGGTGGACTGGATCCAAATGGAGAACTCAGTTCATCCAGCGCCCTGAAAATCATTTCAGAAAGATGTCAGTTGGTCACTCACACAAAGGTTAGCTTCACACATCAGACACCCAGGGCAAGGTTGTGACTTTTATAAGAGAACAGCCCAAAACTGACATACAGCAAAGGTTGCTGACAGCTGTGTTGCCAGCTGCTCTTTGGAGAGCGAGGAGGGCTCAAGGCAGAACAGGAACTGCACAGCTACCAAGCCCATGATTAAGCACTCTCTCACTTGCACAGCCATCCTATCTCCAGAAGACTGGGACACTGCCACTAGCTGGAACTCAGCAGTCCCAGCCAAAGGGATACAACAGAGGAGACAGGGCCAGGTCCATGAAGCATGAGAACTGCAGGTGAAGAAATACATGGCCAAGCCCAGTGCTCCAGCCTCAAACCATGGCTTACTTGGAGCTAGGCAGTCCCACACAGACTCAGCAAGCTGCTCAGTGCTGGAAACTTCACCAAGTCCAGGATCCAAAGAAACAAAACATCCCCTAAAGAGTCCCTTTGATATATTCCTATTAAGTTGATACATAAACTTATGGCTGTAATCATGCTTTTAAAAACATGCTTGAAGAGAAGCCCTCCTTAATGCAGCCGTGAAGGAAGAGTTCACTGCCACACTCCAAGTCTCCAAAACTGTACCTCCTTCTCTGGGGCAAAGCACACCAAACCCACAGTCCTGGCAGAGGGCTGCAGCAGCTGAGCACTGTCACAAAGCCCTTGGATGGTGAACTCAGCACTCCAGCAGCAGAACAATGCTGAATCAGAAACTCCATGCCAAAGATGTGAGTGGAGAGCACCAGGCTGCCCTGTGGAGCTTGGTAGGTTTGTAACATCCCCAGCAGGGCTCAGGGTGATGAGCAGAAAGGGATGCAGCCCCAAACGCCTGTGATTATAAGTGCAGCTGGCAGAGGGAACTCACGTCTCAATGCACAACTCAGTGAGCCCTGGTGTGAGGGCTCAGTGTGTGCAGCTCAGGACACCTGATCCAAGCTGGATTTGGGCACACTGTGAGACAAAGCAAGGACGAGGGTCCTTTTCTGCCATCTCAGCAGGAGTGGCATCATCATCTGAGATTATCTTACACAGCTTCAGGTATTCCTGTGCTGAAGAAAGCTGACTACGAATCACACGCAGCATCAGCAACGCTTCCCTCTCAAGGAGAAAAAAAGATTGATCTCCAATTACCTATGGGTTTTGATCTAGATGGAGAAACTTTAGCTGAGACCCACTGCAACTTGTTATTAACTGCACAGTTTTCCTTCAGACTTCCACAGCATGGAGTTTCTTAAGCAATCTCCAAGTGGGAAACTCTTAGTGTCATGCAGTGAACACGGAACTCAGAGATACACCCAACCATTTTATAGATTCGGCTGCTAAGGAGAACTTCCAAAGCAGAAACTTCACATAGGAAAAGCTTGTGTTCATCAGCTTCCCAAGAGACAACAGCAGATCCAAGGCTGATGTGCAGTTAATCACAAACACCAGGCTTTGCACATATTCCAGGGTTCCACTTGCACCACGGAAGGTATGTGAAAAGCCACATGAGGAAGCAAAGCAAATATTGCAATCAGATCTCGCTTTCAACACCCCTCTGTGGCAAAGGACTACCATAGCTCAACAAGTTTTGGAAGGTTTGTTTTGGCTCAATCTGAAATGATTTCAAGCACTGGGGGCTGTGTGTGTGTTAATGTCCACAATAAACGAGGCTCAGAATGTTTTGATTGTTAACAAAACATATCGAGGAGTTGATTCAGTGTGGGAGGGGGACCAGCAGCTTTTCTTGCATGGGAAATCTTTATCCATTGGAAGTCTTGGAGTAGGGCAGAAATTAATTAAGGAAATAAACTAATCATAAGCACAAACATCAGCACCTTAGCAGTACAGAGAGAAGCACGGAGGCGGGAAGTCATTTAGCAAGGAGATCATGCATCTTACAGAATCCAAAAGCAAACCTCAACATGCTCGTGCTCTATTTACATCCCACTAAACATGAAACACGGCCAAGTACAATTCTGAAAGATCCACTCAGGTGGGAAAGGAGAAGAGAAGCAGAGGCTTCTGTTAATTAATCCTCACCCATCTCTGTTACAACTTCTGTCTTGTCTTTTGCACCTGGATCAAAAGGGCAGAAGTTTGAGTGCTGCTGCATGACAGCTTATCAGCCACAAGCACCTGAGAGAAGCAGCTAACGACAGGTTCACCTCTGAAGCAGCTGCTTCCCAGAGCCAACAAGGATTACCTCTCTTGTTGCCCTGCACCAAGACAGAAGGCTGAACTGGGGCTTTTAGAATGATTATATGCATATTTTAACAATTATTCTGTCAATATGACACTCCTGATAGACAGCAAAGATGAACATACCTCTTCTTGCTGGTAGGGGGCCCACTGAATATGGGGTAGACAAGGGCATTCGAAGATGCTGGAAAAGATAAGTGACATTATAGTGGCTTACAGCCATTTTTTAGTCACAGAACACGTTGATACATGGAAACAGAAGAAGTTGGGAAGTCTTCCCATAAGTTACAGCACACAATCTGCAAGTTTTAGGATAATGCAGCATAGATCACAGTAAGTCTAAGTGAATTATTGCTTAGGAGTGTTTTCCATCAAGCATAAATAATTCAAGTGCTCAACTATTTGCTGCTTTCATGATTTTTGACTGCATTTGCTGAAGGATGGAGACTCCTCAGCAATTACAGAAACACGAGGAAGTGCACAGGCAGAAAAGCAGCACTGACAGCCTCCAAAGAACACAATGAGAAGACAAACATTTTGTTTCTAGGAACAGGACACAATAAAATGGCTCTTGTTATTATCAGAAGAGGTAAGGAAGGCTCCAGTAAATGATACAAAGCCCCAGACTTGTTAGAAATGTGAGATCTTAGAGGGCCAAGAAAGCATTCAATAAGAGCAAGAGGAAGACTTGGCAGTGCCTGCTGCTCGGTGAGGAAATGTGAAATCCAGGTGACAAACTAGGAAAGAAATACTTGTGAGCAGATCATTCTCACCATTAAGATACAAAGGACACTCCAACTTGCACACTTCAGAAAAAGAACACTCAGTTAAATCACATTCAAACCACTGTTGGCAGTAATTCACTGCCAAAAGAAGTGCAGAGGGGAGTTTTCTAGGTCACCATCGGGCACAAACTTCATGCATACAGCCTTGTGGATATTCAGCTAGCAGACAGGCACATGTAAGAATTGAAATTAAAAAGCATTCTTGCATTGAAAAGGGTTGGAAAAAAATACTCCAAAGTAAGGATAGAAGGGAAACTGCTCCACTTAACAATAAGCAGGGGCAGAAGTATGGAGAGGTGTTGACTCTCTGGGCAGCAGCTGCTATCAAACCCTTGAGTTACCACCTCCTTGAAAGCAGAAGCATCTCCCAGATGCAGTGCCTGTGTACTGTGCACAATGAGTGCACGAGAAGACCGAGATGCACAGAATTCAACTTACCCTTCTTACTCCCTTCGTGTGGAGGTTGGCTGGAAGGAATGCAATCATCTGACTGGCATGTTGTGGAAGAACTAATCTCACCACCGTCCTGTAAATCAAGACAATCTTTTAGGGCAAAAACTCCCCAGCTCTTAGATAGCAGTTACAGAACCACACACAGTGCAGGCTCTCTTCCTGAAGAAGCATTAATTGATGCTGTACACAGTTTGATTCACTCATCACTGCATTTGTTTTGTGCTTTGTGCTTCTTTGTACCATCAGCTTAGCATGCCTGGGACTCAGCTTCACTTTCTGCTTATATCTATGTGTCTTAACAGCTTTTGGAAACCTCCTGCAAGCATTCTATTAAAATCAAAGTCTGCCAAACCAACTGCTGCCTCCAGCTCTGCCCTTGTCATAACATGACTGTGTTATTCCCCATCTCCTCAGGGTCACCAGACTGCACAATGTGAAACCAGATCAAGGCCAAACTCTCCCTGTGCTCATTTTGCAATAACAAAGTCACCAAGTTTCTTTTTCCAATGCTGCATACTTCTGATTAACCTCTGAGAAACAGCTCAGCCATTAAAAAATGCAATCACAGCAGTGTGAAATGCTTTAGAAAGTTATATATTAACTGCGTGTGCAAGACTGGATTGTGCAAGCTAACACTTGTGTTTTAGTAGTGCTAGCTAGTAAAAACATATTGACAATTAAGATTGGTGTGTGAGAGACAGACCAATACAGTGCAGGTGAACAAAGCAGGCAATAAACTGTTCTTTATAATCATGCATTGGTTCAATAAAGCAGATTAGCCCTATAAAAACAGCTTCCCATCTTGTTCCCTGCTTCCTTCTGGTGCCTGCTATTAAACACTGCAGTAGAACCCCAGCAGCCTTTCCCACCTCCACGCATTTTAGATGCCAGAATGCAGCAACGCAGATGTGACACTAAGTGTAATGGAGGTCTGTGACTCCCTGTTCTGATTTCATATTTACTGCATTCCACTGCTACCCTTACCTTTCCCACCTAACACCTGTGTAGTTCTTTGTCAGCTTTGCTCCTCACCACACACACGCAGAAATAACAAGGGGGAATGGTTTTAAACTGAGACAGGGGAGGTTTAGGTTGGATCTTAGGAGGAAGTTTTTCCCCCAGAGAGTGGTGAGGCACTGGCACAGGTTGCCCAAGGAGGCTGTGGATGCCCCATCCCTGCAGGCATTCAAGGCCAGGCTGGATGTGGCTCTGGGCAGCCTGGGCTGCTGGTTGGTGACCTGCACACAGCAGGGGGTTGGAACTGGATGAGTGTTGTGGTCCTTTTCAACCCAGGCCTTCCTATGATTCTAGATTGCTGTCAGCACAAACACTGCACAGGCAGCTTTCCTCTCAGCCACCCTAAACAGAGTATTTCACTGCAGCACACAGGGATGAAAACAAACTGGAGTTTTACCACTGCTTTATGCCTTCATAACATACAAACCTGCACAGATTCTTTTTAAGTCAAATCTAAATGAACACCTGGGCTGAGTAACCGGAGCATGTGTGAGATCTAGCAAACTCAGTTCATGTCACCCAAACCCTGCTGGCACCTCTACTCACCGTGCTCCCTGCATGGCTGCACTCTTCAGTCTCAGAAGGATGAGAAGCAACAACAGTGCTGCCTGCACTTTGCTGCAGAGACGCCTTTCCTTCGTGTGCAGTATTTCTCTCTTGATTTACACAACTCGGAAAGTTCTCTCTGTTGTTGTTTTCTCTCTTCTGAGGCACAGAAGTACTTCTCTGTGCACTGTCTGCCTCGAGGCTTTTGTTGGCATCAGCTGAATGAGACCTGGGGGGAGTCTGGAGAGGCTTAAGGTCTAAGGGTGGTTTCTTAGAGTGCGACTTCTTGCTGGCAGAAAAGAATGCTGCTCCCGACTGAAGCCTCAGAGCCGGTTTCACTGTCATGCTGAGGACTCTGAAGGGTGAATCCATCTTCTTCTTAATTAGACAAGGAGTATTCTCTTTCCCCACACTAGGTTTTTTAGGGGGTGCATCTGCTTTCAGCTTCTTAAGGGCTTTGGGGGCAGTTTTGCCATGCTTGGAACCAGCTGCAGGCCTGGCTGGCTTCGAATTCGTGTTCCTGCTGACATTCACATTAACTTTCTCAGTCCTGCTGGCAGCCAGGGGACTCTTACAACTGCCCCTGTCCCCAAAAGCTCCACTCTCACTCAGCTGTTTCCTCTCTAGAATAGTAAGGTATTGCTTTTCCTTGCTATAAAAAGACATCACGGGCACGATGGGTTGGTATGAGGCAGCAGGCTTAGGGGATAACTGGGAGGAAAACTCCCTGCGTGTAGCAGTGGGGATGCTGGCAGCCTGCAGTGGGGACACATCCAACCTCCTCAGTGGTGCTGGCTTCACAGAAACAGCTCCACTTTCCTCATCGCTGGAGCCAGGTGACCATTTGATCTGAGAAGAAAACCAGCGAGCTCTTGATTTCTTGAGGCTTTCAGCAAAATCCAGCACCCTTCTTTTCACAGGAGTCTCAAAGGCACTATGAAAAACAAAGCAAAATGTCACATATTGACAGCTTTTCAGGTATTCTTGTGCTTAAGTCACGCTCCAAGTCCACTCAGCCTAGCTGCCTGCACCACTAGATGCCCTTTAACAAACACAGACCCAAGGCTGTCAACAGCCATTTTGTTTTCTGCTTTCAGAGGGAGGGAAGCAAAAACCCCACAGTATTTCACAGCAGGTTCTGAAAGGCATGCACTGAATTCTCACACCGATGTATTTCAGAGGCTAAAACTCTGTCGGCGCTGCACCAAGGGCCAAAGGGGACCCACTTTACACAAAGGACACATTCAGCTGCAACATATTTGCTTGCTGTAAATATTTAGTGAGGAAAAAATCTCACTATCTCAGGAATTTGTCCGTCCAATTCAGAAGAAAAACTTCACCCTGGTCTCCTCCCCGAAATGTTTTTGTGGGTGAAGGACAAGAGGAGCATGAGAGAAATCTGTTCTGCCGTGACAAAGTAACAAAGGGAGAGGACCAGCCTGTTCTGTGGGATGTAAGCTCAGCTTTGTGTCCATAGCCAGTGGCTACATTAGTGGGAACAGATATACTTGTAAGATATGTGTAAGAAAGGAACTCCTGGGGACTAAAAGTGCCCCTGGGGTGCAGCAGGTCCAGCACTGCCAGCCAGTTCTGGACAGCCCGTGCATCTATGATCATTTGCATGCTTTTACAAACTGGAAAAGACTGAAACTCTATCACAAATAAATGTAAACATCAGAGTTTTATTTCTTAGGTTCCTAAGCCATCATTTTTTTTTTTAGGTTTCCATTGGTTTTGGGACCTCATTAGGGTTTGACAAACCCTACATTTGACAAAGGTGACTGCCAAAATAAGATACACATATTAAAAAGCAGTAATAGCTCTGGCACACAGTAATGCAACCACCAACGTGGCTCTGCAAAGCACCAGCTTACTGTGACACCTTTTTCTTGTTTCTAGCTCTGCACTGATTGTGCTTTAGATGGAAGATCAGTTTCAGCTTCCCTACGTATCAGTTGAAAGCTCTCAGAACAATATAAAATGCTATTAAGTCATAAATATCGACTAATTCCAGAGCATTTCAAAACTACCTTATTTCCACTTCATGATAAAATTTTCAAGAATTTGAAATATGAGAAGCTGGATTTGGGTTGGGGCAAGCCCAGATATGTCACAGATCATTTGAGTTGGAAGGAACCTTTAAAGGCCACCTGGTCCAAGTCTCCTGCAGTGAACAGGGACAGCTACAGATCCATCAGGTGCTCACAGTCCTGTCCAGCCTGACCTTGGCTGTCTGCAGGGACAGGGCAGCCACCACCTCTCTGGGCAGTCCATTTCATTGCTTCACAACCCTTACTGAAAGATTAAAAAACAACAAAACATTTTCCTTATATCCAGGCTATATCTCCTCTCTCTTAGTTTGAAATTATTTCTCCTTGTCCTATCACAACAGACCCTGCCAAAGAGTTTGCCTCCTTCCTTCTTACAGCTCTACTTTAGATACTGACAGGCCTCACTCAGGCCATCCCACCAGCCTTCTCTTCTCCATGCTGCACAGCCCCAGCTCTCTCAGCCTCTCCTCATAGGACAGCTGTTCCATCCCTGGGATCATTCTTGTAGCCCTCCTCTGGATTCACTCCAACAACTCCATGTCTCTCCTGTACTGAGGACTCCCAGCACTGCAGCTGAGGTCACACAGCACAAAGCAGAGGGGCAGGATCCCCTCCCTGACCCTACTGGCCACACTGCTTTTGGTGCAGTCCAGGATACAGTTTGCTTTCTGAGCTGCAAGGGCACAGTGCCTCCTCATGGCCAGCTGCCATCCACCTGTACCTCCATGTTTTTTTCATCTACAGAGAACTCACTGAGAGCAGTCCTGAGAAGGACTTGGCGGTTCTGATGGATGAAAAGCAGGACATGAGCCAGCAGTGTGCTCCTGCAGCTTGGAAGGCCGGGGCTGCATCAACAGAGGGGTGCCAGTAGAGACAGGGAGGTGACTGTCCGCCTCTATTCTATCCTTGCGAGACTGCAGCTGGAATACTGTGCCCAGGCCTGCACTGGAAGGATGCAGAGCTGTTGGAGCAGGTTGAGAGGTGGGCCATGAAGATGATCGGAGGGCTGGAGCACCTCTCCTATAAGGACAGATTGATGGAGTTGGGCTTGTTCAGCTTGGACAAGAGAAGACTCTGGGGAGACCTCATTAAGGCCTTCCAGTAGCTGAGGGGAGCCTACAAGCAGGATGAGGACTGATGTTTTGCACAGTCCACTATCAACAGGACAAAGGAGAATGGCCTTAAACTAATTCAGATTAGATATAAAGAGGAAATTCTTTATTCAGATGGCAGTGATACCCTGGCATTGCTGCCCAGAGGCAGCATGGGCCCAGATGGGCCCTGGGCAGCCTGAGCTGATGGGGGGCACCCAGCCCAAGGCAGCAGGGTGTGTAAGATCCCTTCCAACCCAACCATGCTGTGACTCTACGTTCAAGGAAACATTAAAAAAAAGAGGTTTGTACGTTGTTAACATACGTCTGAGTAGGGCTCTGGCTCCTCTTCTGTGAGCTCACAGCTGCCATGTCACCAGCCGAGCACCTGCAGGAAGGCATTATGAATCAGGTGAAATCGATTTTAGTTACAGCTTTCAGTTAACGAAGGAAGAGAAGTTGGGAACTGGCAATAACGATTAATAAAAGCGGTTTTCAGACAGGGCAGGGATCGGAATAATGTTTTAACTAAGAGTAAATAACAGCACAGAGAAGATTTCTGCTTCGAGTCCTAACCAGACCCTTCCAATACCCAAAGAAGGGCGATAAGAAAGAAGGGAACAGACCCTCAGCCCCTCTCAGGACGACTCCAGACCCCCTAGGCCCCGCACACGCCGCCCGCACTCCCCCTCACCTCAGCACCGCCTCCATCACGGCCACCAACGGTCCCGCGCCTTCCAACCCGCGCGCGCGTTCACCCGCCAGGCCGCCCATCCGCTTCTCATTGGCCGAGAGCCTTGCCACTCAGCACACCTCGCAGGGCCATTGGTCTGACTGCGGCCCGCCACTCACATTTCAGCCAATTAGATGGTTGTCCCCCCCCCCGGCGGAAACTCCAACTCCCAGCATGCCTCGCGAGAACAGAGCCGCCTCTGGGGGGGGGGGCGGTGCGCGAGGCACGCTAGGAAATGTAGTTCGTAATGCACGCTGAGACTCGGAAGCTTGGGAAGCGCTTTGCCCAAGTAGTGCCGCGCCCTGCCACAGATCTCGTATCTCGGAGTTCGACTTAGGCGTTCAATCTAGAGGAATTTACAAGGATTTAAGTAGAGAGAGCTGACAGGACCGGACTGTGGAGAGCCCTCCGTGACGCAGTGGTCCACACACTCAGGAAATATAAAGCAAAACAAAACGCTCCGGTCCGAGCCCCGAGTCCGCCTCCCCTCAGATCGGGAGAAAACGCAACCGCGAACGAACACCTGCTACAGAGCAGTGGGGAAGGTCTGCGCATGCGTGAAACGACGTAGAAGCACTGCTGTGGCGACCAGCGTAGGCCCAAATAATCTTGCCCAATCACGTCTGAGCATCTACACATGCGCATAACGCCCCTCCTTTCACATCCGGGAGACTCGGCGCATGTTTATGACGTATGACGCATGCGCGGCTCCTGGTGTGCATGCGCACTGCTCCCTTCCGGCCTCTGTAGCCAGGAGCGGGCAGCGGTACTGTGAGGTGCCCGGGCGGGTGGGCCGCGCCGCCGCTATGGTGTTCTACTTCACCTCCAGCGGTGAGTCTGCGGTGGGGGGTGTGTGGTTTCAGGCCTCTCCTTGCGGGTTACTGTGGGAATGGCGCGTTCCCTGCGCGGCGGTGGGGCTCCTTGACCTTCTTCACTGTGGTGTTCCCCGTGGAGGCCTCAGCGTGTGGCGTTTCCTCCTCATATCGCACCGAAGTTTCCCCTCCTAAGTACTGAAATGTTTGGGTTTTTTAAACACTGAAAGGATCTTTTTTTATGTGTGCCCCAGATCCTCTCAGCAACGTATAACCGCAGTGTGTTGTCCGTGTGTGGATTTTACTGCATCCCTGTAAGTTTACAGGCTTGGGGCAGAGTGGCTGGAAGACTGTGTAGAGGAAATGGACCTGGGGGTATTGACTGATGCTCAGCTGAACGTGAGCCAGCGGTGTTGCCAGGAAGGCCAATGGCATCCTTGCTTGCATCAGAAAAGGTGCTGCCAGCAGGAACAGGGCAGTGATTGTCCTCCTGTACTCAGCTCTGGTGAGGCTGCACCTCCAGTACTGTGTCCAGTTTTGGGCCCCTCACTGCAAGCAAGACATTGAGGCCTTGGAGCAGGTTCAGAGAGGGGCGACAAGACTGGTGAGGGGTCTGGAGCACAGGGCTGATGAGGAGAGGCTGAAGGAGCTGGGATTGTTCAGTCTGGAGAAGAGGAGGCTCAGGGGAGACCTCATTGCTCTCTATAACTTCTGAAGGGAGGTTGTAGTGAGCTGGAGGTCGGCCTCTTCTCTCGTGTGACTAGTGATAGAACTAGAGGGAATGGCTTCAAGCTGCCAAACCAGGGGAGATTTAGGCTGGACGTTAGGAAATACTACTTCTCTGAAAGAGTGGTCAGGCACTGGAATGGGCTGCCCAGGGAGGTGGTGGAGTCACCCACCCTGGAGGTGTTCAAGGAACGTCTGGATTTTGTGTTGAGGGACATGGTTTAGTGAGAACTGCTGGTGACAGGTGGATGGTTGGACTGGATGATCTTGTAGGTCTTTTCCAACCTTGGGATTCTGTGATTCTTATTCTGTGATTCTGTTCTTATAGCATTATCTGCCTCAGTTCTGGAGGTGAACTTCCTGCTAGAGAAGCTCAGGAATGCCATTTCCCTCAGGCAATGCTCAGCAGTGCTTCCAGCAGCCTTCCCATCAATCTGCTCCGAGGATCCCATTAGTAGGGCAAGAGACTGTAGCCCCAGATGTAACCTGGAGAGGCTCAGGTTAGATATGAGGAAAAAAATCTTCTCAGAAAGAGCAGTGATGCAGTGGCACAGCTGCCCAGGGAGGTGGTGGGGTCAGCATCCCTGGAGGTGTTCCAGAACCGTGGGGATGTGGCACTAGGGGACATGGTTTAATGGGCAGAGGGCACAGCAGCGTTGGATGGCACTGGGAATGGTTGAGCTGCCATAGTGCATCACAGTTAAACCTGCTGATGGTGTAAACCATCTCGTGTAGTAAGTTGAAGATTTCTGATGTGTTTTAGTCATAGGAGAGGACACAGTGAGAATGCCACTGTAGCTTGTTTAAGCTGCGTTGCACTATTGTTGATGTGTACACTGAGTTTAATTGCCCACACGGCTCAGAAAGCCAACTGCACCAAAAGCAGCTTGGCCAGCAGGGTCATGGAAGGGATCCTCCCCTTCTGCTTTGTGCTGTGTGACCTCAGCTGCAGTGCTGGGAGTCCTCAGTACAGGAGAGACATGGAGTTGTTGGAGTGAATCCAGAGGAGGGCTACAAGAATGATCCCAGGGATGGAACAGCTCTCCTATGAGGAGAGGCTGAGAGAGCTGGGGCTGTGCAGCATGGAGAAGAGAAGGCTGGTGGGATGGCCTGAGTGAGGCCTGTCAGTATCTAAAGTAGAGCTGTAAGAAGGAAGGAGGCAAACTCTTTGGCAGGGTCTGTTGTGATAGGACAAGGAGAAATAATTTCAAACTAAGAGAGAGGAGATATAGCCTGGATATAAGGAAGATTGTTTTTTTTAATCTTTCAGTAAGGATTGTGAAACACTGAAATGGGTTGCCCAGAGAGGTGGTGGATGCCTCATTCTCAAAGACACACGTGGTCAGGCTGGACAGGGCTCTGAACACCCTACTGAGCTGTGAATGCCCCGTTTCATTGCAGAAGGGTTGGATGAGATTTCCTTTAAAGGTCACTTCCAGTTCAATTGATTCTATGTTTCTAAATGATATGGGCTGAAAGCACTGACCTGCTAAGGTTAAGGTAGTGCTCTCCCACTCTTTTCAGCATGGGCTTCATTTTCATGAAATCATATCTGAGCATATAATTTTATGTTTCTGTGCAGTGTCTCTGTTCATGATGATCTCTCATTCTCTGCACTCCTCTTCCTGTGTGTTCAAGGTAGATTTTTTTTTTTCAATCTTTAACTCTCACCAATACGGAAATGCAAATAGATGAAATGATTCTATTTCCTGTTGCCTTATTGCCAAACGTTATGTAAATAGCAATAGGTTTCTTTTGAAAGGCATTGCAATGGCATGAAGCTGACAGTCTGCTCTCAGCAGTCCTTTGTGTTGAAGTAGGTCCTTATTGGTGAAAGCCAAATTTCAGTGCAGAAGCTAGAACTGTGACACTGCTAGACAGGTTTCAGTCACCATGGAATTGGGATTTCCCTGCTGCCATATACAATGCCAGAGCGTTTTTGAAGCAGGCTGCAGCAGGACTTCCTTGGCTGTGGCACCCTCTTACTGCAGCCTCCATCTCTCTGCTGTGCTGGCTGTCCATCCAGGTTTGCCAGAACTGAAAATGGCTTTCCTGCATTATGGAATGAACCCTGAAGAAGAGAACATCATTGCTCAAAGTGCCCTGAAGGGATGCAGATAGGACAAAACGAGTCTGGCTGGTGTTTGGCTAGCTGCAGGCTTTCAGCTGTCTTGCAGATCTTAATCCTCTCAGCTCCCCCAGGGAGGTGAGCGATGTGCTGCTGCTTTGGGGAAGTGAGTTTGTTTTGCTTGACCACACAGAGAGTTAACAGCAGACTGTAAACACAGCGTTGGCATTCCTGGCTCAGAGCCTGCGTGCTTAATTGGACAGATTGTATCTGTGTAATTGGATAATCCAAACCACATGGGTGCTGAGGGTGTTTTGCCCGACAGCTGTTCTATGTTGGATAATCTTCAGTGGAAACTGCTGAAAAGAGCCCCCAAAGATCTCTGAAGCGTGTGGGATGAGGTCTGGAGGAGCTGCAAAACAGTCGTGCAGCCCAGAGGAGGGAAGTGGGATGCATGAAACAATTTTCAGTGTAATTTCTTTTCCCAGGGCCAATGCATGGCTCAGTCCTTGCACGGTTTGTCCAAAGCCCTTTTGATTTATTTTCCTCTTTCTGTTCCTCAGTTGTTCCCACCGTTTACACCATTTACATGGGAAAAGACAAGTATGAAAGTAAGTATGCTGAAAGTAAGTATGCTGATGGGTGAGGCAGCTTGCCTGGGGTTAGGCCTGTGGGTGCCCAAGGTTATTTTGAAAGGATGTCTCTTCATTTGTTAATTTGATGTGCTTGAAACCGTGCAAATCATTCCGAGTTACTCCTCTGAAATCCACTGTGCTGCTTTTAGCTTGGATGGATGAACTTTAGATACAATGACTGGCTTCAAAACAACTGAAAACTAAACTAGCTGAAAAAATGAGCCTAGGCAGCAGCCTTTTCAGATTGTGTCTGATGACATCCTTCAAGTCAGCCTCCCCCTTCCCTGCTCCCTCTATTATTCCTCTCCCCACTGAACATTGGTGGCCCAGAGGCTCCCTGTGCCTGTCCTTCCCCGCAAGGTGAAGGTTCTGCTTCTGCTGCATCTCCTTTTTCCACATCAGGAGGCAATGTGAAGCCGTGGTGCACACCATGCAAAGTGCTTGGCTGTCTCTTTGCCTGAAAGTCTCCTTTTTAGACTGATATTAGGAGAAACAAATGTTCACATAAAACTGTCCACGTGTGACAGGAGGAGAGAAAGGCATGGAAACTGGGGATCCTCAGTCTCACTTCTCACACACACTGTGTGTTCTCAGCATACTGGTTCCTGGCATAGTTGCATGCAGCTGGGTGCACTAAACCCTCTCTGCCTCTGCTTGATCCCCATACTCTGGCTGATCAATAGAAGTTGATTTCTACTCTGGTCAGATCAGCAGTCACAGCAGGCAGTGTGATTGGAGGTCCTGTGCTTTGCTCAATGCCATTTTTCTTCTTGCAGATGAAGATCTAATAAAGTATGGCTGGCCTGAAGATATCTGGTAAGTCCTGCAGCTCTGTGCACACCTTCATAAAGCACACTGCCTCTCTAGGTGCTGCTGCAGTTCAAATCCCAGCCCTTGTGCTGCCACAGGCACAGCAAAGTCTGCTTTCTCCCAAACCACTGAGCAGCTTAAATGCATTCCCAAGGTGGAGATGGATTTTAGCAGCTCCAGGTGCAGATGCTCAGATGCTGTTTGGAATTCATTTTCCTACATCTCCCCTGCTTTGTCCACTGGAAGGATTTGACTCCTGTGGTGTGGTTTCTGGGGATTTGGGGAATGCAGCCAGAAGCCTCCTGAGCCACAGTGAATGCTGTGCCTACAGAATGTTATCTTCTTCCCAAGTATCTTTTCCTCTGCACGTGCTTGGTGTCACCCCTGTGTACACTGTGGATTTCTGCTGTCCTGTCCTGTACAGCAGCCGTGGAGTTTGGGTCTGTGAGCAGGAGACTTTTGACTTTTTTTATTCCCTTCAACTAAAAGCTGTGTCAGCTTTCAGCACACCCACAGGGCTGCGGTCAGGCTGGTGAGAGGAAGCACTCCATCTAGCCTGGGTTGGTTTTGGCTCACAAGATCTCATCAGAAAAGAAAAGCAAGATCAGGGGAGTTCCCACTCTTGGCAGCAGCAGTGGGTGGCATCTCTGCTGGCTGATTCAGACTCCTGCTTGTGCCTGCCCCCCTGTACTGGCAGCATGGTAGCTGACAAGCTATGTACATTGTCAGCAACAAACTGAGTGGTAAAAAAGATTTTGCTTTGGTTGAGTAACACGTTGGTGTAGCAGCATCAGGTGTTGTGAAGTCAGGAGGGACATGGATCTGTTGGAGCGTGTCCAGAGCAGGGCCACAACAGTTATCCAGGGGAAGGAACATCTCACCTGTGAGATGGACAGACTAAAAGAGGTGGGGCTCTCTCAGGATCTAAAGGGGGGGTTTAAGAGAAAAATATGTGGTTGTGATAAAAGCACTCGAATGGATCTATCTTGTTTGCACACGTGCATCCTGAACGTTTTTGTAGACTTGTCCACGGAGAAGCTGCTCTATCAATAGGAAGTAATCTTTTTTCAGAACAGATGACTGCCATCTCTTACCTCCTGCTAAACATGTGATTTTTTTTTTTTTTTTTTTTTTTTTTTATTCTGTAGGTTTCATGTGGATAAGCTCTCTTCTGCACATGTGTATCTTCGGTTGCACAAGGTAAACCTGTGATATGTCTTTACAAAAGCCCTAAATGGCATTCACCTGCATAGAATTATGCAGTCTCAGCCTGCAGTGGGCCCTGTGGATGGGACCAGCTGAATTCACATGAACACTGAAGTTCACAGGCTCCTGAAGGGTACAGAATCATAGAATGGTCCGGGTTGGAAGGGACCTCAAGGATCATGAAGCTCCAACCCCCTGCCACATGCAGGGCCACCAACTTCCACATTTCATACCAGCCCAGGCTGCCCAGGGCCCCATCCAACCTGGCCTTGAACACCTCCAGGGATGGACGGGGCATCACAGCCTCTCTGGGCAGCTGTTCCAGCACCTCACCACTCTCTGTAAAGAACTTCCCCTGACATCCAGCCTAAATCTTCCCTCCCTCAACTTCAAACCATTTCCCCTTGTCCTGCTGTTATCAACCCTTTCAAAGAGTTGATTCCCCTCCTGTTTGTAGGCTCCCTTTAGGTACTGAAAGGCTGCAATGTGGTCACCCCACAGCCTTCTGCAGATATCCACCTCTGTGAGGAGGTTGAATTACAGCTTCCACCACCAAATAATGGTGGAAGGAGAGGGAAGCTTCATGTGGCCCAGCAGAACAAATGGTTTCTGACCTGGCATTGAGCATGTGTTTGAGGGAGAAAACCAGAGTGCACATCACTTGTTTCTCTCCTTACAAATGCTGTGAAGGATCTAGTAAAATGTCAAGAGGAGAAGGGTCGGAAGTGTTTGCAGGGCATCGTGTCCTGCTCCTGGCTGTGGTGTGCTCTTTTGTGTGCTCCTCAGTCCCTACAGCCCCTTCTCACTTGCACGGCTGATGCTGTGTGCTCTGTCACAGGGGCAGACAGTGGATGACATTCCTAAAGAAGTTCTGATAGACTGTGCCCACCTGGTGAAGGCTAACAGCATCCAAGGTGGGTCTGTTTCCCATTGGGGATGGGTGCAAGGTGTTTGTTGTGGGTGTTTCTGCTCCACACAAGCATGTGTGTGAACAAACATCTGTGAAAGCTGCTGCTCTGTTCTCTGTTAATTCGGTGCCTGCTGGTCTTATGGGAAGCAGATGTCACTTACAGCTGCCGAGGCTGCTTGTTAGGCTTTCAGAAGGAGGAGTTTTAAATCTCTGAAATTCCTGTTTGTGCCTCCACGCTGCTGCCTGAGCCAGAGAGTCCTTGCAGGCTCTTCCCTCACACCACCTTGGGGCCCCCTTCCATAGCAGTCGCTCTTCTGGCAAAGACAGCCTCCATCTGGAGTTGGTTAGCACTGCTTGCAGCGCTCGTGTTACTGCAGAAATTGATGTTGTGGTGGTTTCTGTTTCACTGTAACACTGGAAGGAGTTCTCCTTTTGCTTCTTTCTTGCCTTGTTAGTAATGCTGGTGACAAGAATAACTGTCGGAGTTTGCGTTTGCACAGAAGTCTTTCAGCTGGGAGAGAATAAAAATGTTTCCATCCTTTCTCCTCTGCTCCCCAGGTTGCAAGATGAACAACGTCAACGTGGTGTACACACCATGGACCAACCTGAAGAAGACTGCAGACATGGATGTGGGGCAGATTGGGTTTCATAGGCAGAAGGATGTAAGTGTTTGCTGCAAGCCAGCAAGGGTCACCTGGTGACACACCATCACATTTCCAGTTAGCAGCTGGATGGGTTATCTTCAGCATTTACCCTAAAGGAAGGGAATCATCTAATTCCTGGAGCTTGAGAGAGATCCTTGGGGCATGTTTAGGCTTACCTTGCCATCAGCTGGGAATGCATGCTCGGTGTTAGCCTGTGGCAGAGTGTAGCCTGGATGGGATGCTTGCAAAAAGCAGTGCAGTGTAGCTGATCGGTCTCTGCTAAACCTGAATGCTATCACATGTCTGTTCTATTGGCTCAAATTTATCTGCACTGCAATCATCCCTGTACGAGCAGTCAGTTTGGATCAGCTTACGAACACCAATGTGATCAGATGGCTGGAAGGGCTCAGATGAGCTTGCTGTGCAGTGGAGGACTCAGGGGCATCTCTGAGACCTCCATTACTGTGATGACTTTGCTGTCTCTGCTTTGGGCAATGTTTCACCGCAGTGCTACTCTGAATTTGTTAAACTTGTTATAAGGCAGAGCTGCTTAGCTGTGCTGTGGGGTCAGTCCAGCACGCTGAGCTGTTCCCAGGCCTGAGCTGTGTCCCCAGGTGATGTTAAGCATGAACTGTGGTTATGCAGCTTGGCTGCTGGGATAGAAAGCTCTCTACAGATGCAGTTGTTTGACTAAAACAGGTCCATACCAGGGCAGGAAGTGCAGAAAACACTGAAAACTACAGAATTAGCAACATGTGAGTTTCCCTTCCCCAAATGGTTGGTGGAGGCCTGCTGACACCTCCTCAGGAATCAGCAGAAACAGGGGTGGTTTTTTTTTTTTGGTTTGGTTTTTTTTTTTTGGCTTCTTTGTTAAGGCATATGCTAAGAAAACAAATTAGACACGCTTATGTACTCAGCAGTACTTGTGCTTGTTAGTCGTGGGCCTTTGGTGCTGTTACACAACAGGCTGAATGGGACAAGGTGGCTGTGATTTCCCTTCGCATCTGTTTTTGTGGGATTCAGCCACTTGTAAAGTAGAAATAGGGCATTTTCTTTCCATAGACAAAGTGCCAAAATAAAAGTATTTTTTTTATAAGGATCATAGTTCTTTGCACTCCAAAGGTGAAAATGCTGACAGTGGAGAAGAAGGTGAACGAGATACTGAACCGATTAGAGAAGACAAAAGTGGAACGTTTCCCAGACCTGGCTGCTGAAAAGGAGGCCCGTGACAGAGAGGAGAGGAATGAGAAGAAAGCCCAAATCCAGGAGATGAAGCGGAAGGAAAAGGAAGAGATGAAGAAGAAGAAAGAGCTGGAAGAGCTTAGGTAAGTCATAAATTGCAGTGCCAGTGTTGAGCTGCTGTGGTTTTCATCAGCGCGAGGGGAGAGTCATGGGTCAGCAATTTCTGTGTAATGGTTGGCGCCGCATTACTCAGTGCTCAGCTGACCTGCTCTTGTATAGATGTCTGCATGGCCCAATGGTTCCCTTTGTCTTTACAATAAATGCATTTCCCCCTTTTTTTTTTTTTTTTCTTAAAATAAACCTGGATGTTAAACCACTGTGAAAAGAAAGGACGGTGTCTTTTGAAATCTATCCCTGACTTGGGAGAAATTGGGTGAGCCACTTGTCTCTGTGGGATGGGAGCAATCTATTGGGTTCCAGCTTTCAGCTCTTTGTAAGTCTTGGAAAGCACTGAGCCACAGGCAGACTTCTTCAGCTTCCTGTTGCATCACCGTTGTTACTGAAACGTGTGATTCCTCAGTTTTCCTCCGTAGGCAATTGCATGCTCCTTTGAGCACTGAAAGAAGAACAGTGCTTTAAAATGTCATATTGACCTTTCTGTCACTCAGCTACCAAACCTGCAGCAGCATGGGGGAGCTCATTCCTCCCTCCTGCCTGCCCCATAGAGACCTGGATGTGTCAGCTGGCCAAAGGCTTACTTTAAAGCACAAGATACTTTATTGTGGCAAGTTGTATTTATATGTGAATGACAGGGAGACTGGAATTTGAAAAACTCAAGGTCTCAACACGTGTAAAGATCATAACGAGGGCTTTGGAAAAACAAACTGAGCACCAGGAGGCATATCTGTGCTGCTGAGAAAAGGCTCTGCCTTCCTGATAAGCCCTGCTCCAGAGTTGTCCCTTCATCCCCCAGAATGAAGGATTTTCTGCCTTGTGGTGCTGTCTAGCTGGTAGCTTCTGAACAAAGCTGCAGAGGCTGTGGAGATGAGTCTGCATAGTACCTGTGCTTTCTTCAGTTGTTTTAAATAGCTAAAGAGTGTAAGATAACTAGAAACTAGATCATGGAATCATAGAATGGCCTGGATTGAAAAGGACCACAACGCTCATCCAGTTCCAACCCTCTGCTGTGTGCAGGTCACCAACCAGCAGCCCAGGCTGCCCAGAGCCACATCCAGCCTGGCCTTGAATGCCTGCAGGGATGGGGCATCCACAGCCTCCCTGGCATCACCCTGAGTTCAGAAAGGAATTGGGTTTTTTTGGTACTTGATCCTATTTTATCAAAATGCCTCTCTGTGTTGGTGGTTTTTGAAAACATATCTTGTAAGATGATGTCATTTCCCTTTCAGGAGTTACTCATCGTTAATGAAGGCTGAGAATATGTCCTCCAATCAGGTGAGAGCTGAGTGATGCCCACAGAAACTATTCAGAGGCAGCTGAAATTCAATGCAGGATTGTGACAGTCCAGCTCCGCATTGCAGTCTGGTTTTAGTGGCTCCTACATGACAGTGCACATCTCCTTTGCCCCTTCTCATTGAAGGACAATGCCACTTTCTTTGGCTTTTAGAGAAGGCCCTAATGCTTGGATGTCTACCAGGTGGAGCCTGTGCTGCTGGTGATGTGTACAGAGCCCTCCCAGTCCATTTCCACTTGAGTGAAGGAGCAGGGAGAGCTATAAGTGGGGCTCCAGGCTTGACTGTCCTTGCTTGGGAGCAGAAAGGTCATCCTGAGGGTGGCAGAGATTATTTTCACCTGCCATCTTTTTTTTTCAAGGGAAGGAGAAAATGCACGGTGTATCTATGAAGGATGATAGTACAGGCAGGGATGAATATAGGTTCTGAGGGGCAGAGAGGAAGCTTGAAGTGATTTGCTTACAGGGAAGTAAACAACTGGGAGGAGCACAGCAGGGAAATGAGGAGGTGGGTCACAGGAGGGCTTGGGGCTGAAGTTGAGAAGAGATCCTGACTTGCACTGTGTGCGTCTGTGCTTTGCCTGAGGTCTGGCTTGTGTACAGCTTCCCCTTGGTGAAGTCTTGGGCAAGGAGATCTTGGAGCTCGTCTCAGTGACCCTCAGTTGAAAATGTGCCTGTTGTAAACTGTTAAAAGGAGTTTGTGGTTTTCATGAGCTCCTCATTTTCCTCCTGGCCAGCGTGCACATCCCCTCTGAGAATTAAGTGTTGAAATGTGAGTGCCTCCTGACGCACTGCTAGGGAGAGGAGTGATGGAAATGCAGCAGCAGGGGTGTTCCTCCTCTCAGCTTCTGAGCCCTGCTTGGTGCCAGGCTGCTTTCCTTCTGCTGGGTCATGACATGGGATGGCCCACCGAGGCTGCTCGTGAAAGCCCCATCTCTGGTTCCTCCCAAATCACAACAGATGGGCTGCAGCTTCAGGGACAGCAAAGAGCAGCGGGTATTTCACAATGCAGAGCTTCTCTTGGTTCTGTTCCCATTCCAGAGGATTCTAGGATGTTTTTACTGGGATGGCAGGAGGCCAGAATAAATGGCAATGGTGAAATCCTGCTGAATACACCATTTCACCATTTTCCACTTTGCAGTGGTCCTAATGTGTCTTTTCTTCCCACAGGATGGCAACGATTCCGATGACTTTATGTGAATAAAGTCGCTCTCCTTTCTCAATCCAAGGTGGTTTGGGATGTCTTAATGTCACCGTTGCTAAGAATGCCAAAAAATCAAACCAAATAAGTGAACTCTGACTCCATTTCTTCAGAAGCTGGTAGATTCTCCTGGTGTCCCGACCAACCCCGAGCCATGGACAACTTCTGGATGGAGAAGATCTCTATGTCTGCACATACATCTCTTTTTTTCAGGGACGTAGGTGTAAGGAAGCAAAATTGAATTTCAGTTCTACAAAGACGATGCTATTTATTCTAGGAAAGGAGTTGCTGTAGCTTTTAATTGAATGAGATTGAAAGAATTTGTGCTGTCTCACTGCTGTCCTGGCAGCTTCGTGCTTCTGAAAGAGGTGCCATTAATTTGGCATCACTGTTGAGCCCCAAAGCCACACTGCTGACTGCGCAGCTCTTATCTCTGTGGTGGTGAAAGGCAGCAAAGCAAGGAGAATTCCCCCAAAATGTGGGGTTTCCCACTTTGACAAGCTCACAGCTGCTTTGCAGACTCACCTGGCAGTAAGTGTGGCAGTTGTTTGCCACTTGTTAACCACAGAGCTGCAGCTGGTGAAGGCTTCCAGCTGATGGTGCAACCTACGTGAGCATGTCAGTGTGTGGGCTGTGATATGTGCCTTTCAGCACAGGATGAGAACAGCCCCAGGGTGTCATTCTTTTGAATTACACTTTATTTCTGGGCTGTTTCTTGGGAACCTTCTCTGCAGAGAAAAGCTGACAAAGAAGGGTTTTATGCAGCCTGTCCTGTTCGGAGCTCTCTGTAAGGTTTTGTGGATAAGTCTGTACGAAGCTATCACGATAATTGTTGCAGCACATGTATATATGTTATGATTAAATTCATAACAGGCTGGTAAAACGTGCTGGTGGGTGAGGGGAGTGGGAGAGTGGAACTGTGGGTGGTGAATTTGCTTGAGGGGGTTTCTAAGGTGGGGGCTACGTATGCAGCCTTTCCCCCAGAGCTGGGCCTTGCCGGTTGGTGTTCTCCCCTCAGAACTGCTGCCTGACTTTCCCAGGCTGCTTGAGGGATGTTTTGTGTCCCTCCCAGCTCTGTTTATCTTTCCTTTCATTCCACACCAGGGTGAGAAGAAATGCTCCGCGGGCCTGCTGGCAGCAGCCAACAGAGCTCAGCTGCTCCTGGGCTGGGTCGCAGCCCCCACTCCATCCCACATCCCATCCCGTGATGGCTGTAGGAGGCGGATGTCTCCTCCCAGACAGCTCCACGCTTTGGAAGAGTGCCTGAACTTTGTGTTATAGGGCTATAAGAAGGTTGGTGGGGTCCCAGGGCATGGTTTTGGGATGTGCCTTCGGGTGCCTTTCAGCCTGGTTATGGCAGGAGCATCCTCCAGCTGTGTGTCTCTTCAGGACACGTCCCAGCACAGGGCTGGGTTTGATGGGAAGAGCAGAAGGGAAGAGCCCTTGGACCCACACAGAGAGGAGTTTATTGTTACTGCAACTGAAATATTAACCAGAGAATTACAGTTAATCCAAATGGACTTAATACAGCAGGGGGAGAAAAAAAAAAAAAACAAAAACACACCCTGCTACAAGTTCCAATGAATAACTGGGCTGGGCAGAGTGCGAGGAGCTGGGGGGGAGGTGGGTATTTGTCCCCCACCCTTCCCTGAGCAGCCGCCCTGCTGCTGCCATCAATGGGGTCATTCACAGGATGGGGGTGTTGGCCAGAGCTTGCCAGCAGTGCTGCAGCTGCCGACTGTTGTGCTTGGCACCAATGCCTGCCAACGGCTCTGGTGTCCTTGAGAGTTTGGGTAGGAGAGTGTCCCTGTGGGCATTGCTGCCAGTGGGCTGTGTGGCACTTGTCCTCTGTGTCAGGGTGATGCCCAGATGGGGAAATGGAGGCACGGGGGTGGTCAGGGCCTTGGCTTTTTGTTGTTTGTGCCTGGGATGCACAGGTGGGAAAGGAAGCTTTTTCCAAAAGATTTTGGGTTGCCTGTGTTAACCAGCAGCATCGTGGCTCTGTAGCTCTGCAGCTGTTAATTCTGAGATGAAAACAGGAAGCCGCCGTGCCAACAGCAATAAACGGCCCTGGGGGCTGGGACCTGCGGCCCAGGCAGGGCTGGTGGGGAGGGTATGGGGCTCCCCGAGCTGTGGGCTATGGAGGGTGGCAGGGGTGGGGATGGAATGCGGATGGGAACAGTGATAGTAATGGTCTGGGATGGAAATGGGGATGAGATCAGGAACGAGGATGAGGACGGAACGGGAATAGGAAACGTGGGATGGGATGATGTGGGATGGAGGAAGGGATAAGGATGGGAATGGAGGTTGGAATGGGATGGGGATGGGAAGGGAGTGGGATGGAGGTTGAGATGGGAACAGGAATGGGGACAGAGATGGAACAGGGACGGAGATGGAGTGGGAACAGGGGTGGGCACAGGGAGGGGAAGAGCTGTGGCCTGAACAAACCTCTGGAAAACAAAGTCAGAGGTGCTGTTGGCAAGGGCCTGTTTATCCCAGGAGCAGGCAGTGAAGCAGGGCTGTGTGTGCAGGTGTGCATTCTGGGGGCATGCTGCACTCCTACAGCGAGGCTGGGGAGAGCCCGAGGTGGGGCTGCGTGCAGGGCCGGCTGTTTTCCCCAGCTCCGTGTTGCTCTTGGCACCAAGGCCCCAGTTCGGGTACCTGGGGCCTCCAGCTGCCCCCTCCTTGCCCTCCACCAGGGAAAAACAACCCACACCCTGCCTACTGGCCTGGGACATGGGGACAGATTCCAGGGGCCCTGCTTTGGGGACAGGAGGGGTTCTCCATCAGAGACCATAAGTGCATGTACATCTGTGTGAGTCTGTGTCCCCTGCTTGGGGACAGCTCTGTGGGATGCTCCCATCTCACTCCACCATCTGTACCACGCCAATGCCCCCAGTTTGGATCTGGGCTCCTCCCCAGCCCTCCTGAACCCCCCAAACCCCATGTCCCAAAGGCAGGAACCACTTGTCCCCATACAAATTTATTGTGCCAGGATTACATTGCTGGTGCAGCCAGGGAAGGAGGGGTGAAGGTGGCCGGAAGTAGGGCACAAGCCAGCTGTGCCCCAGCCCATACAGGTCCTCGTCCTGCGGGGACCCCAAGCCCCAGGACTCTGCAGCCCACTCAAGAGCCAGGGACCAGCCCCGTGCACCCCAAAAAGCATCATGCTGGGGATATCTGGACCTCCTAGGGTCCTTCCTGCCCTGTCCCCAGGGGCTGGCAGCGGGAGCAGGGGATGCTCTCAGAGCTGGAAGGAGTTCCTCCATCCCAGTGCCATTAGCATGGCTCCAAGGTCTGCATCATGGGCCAGGAGGACCGGGGGGACCTGGCGGTCCTGGGGGGCCTCTCAAGCCGGGGTCTCCTTTGGGACCCGTGGGGCCAATCTGTCCCACAGCCCCGGGGTTCCCGGGGAGCCCCAGTTTTCCTTGAGGACCAGGGGGTCCTGTTGGTCCTGGCCCCCCCTCTGGCCCTGGGGGACCCACATCTCCCTTGGGTCCTATCTGTCCCCTGGATCCAGACTGCCCAAAGCTGCCCTTAGCGCCCTTGAGGCCGGGAAAACCCTTTGCACCCAGGGGACCCCTTTCCCCCTGTGGACCGGGGGGACCAGGAGGTCCGGGGGAGCCAGGAGGGCCTGGAGAGCCCAGGCTGCCCACGTCGCCCTTCTCTCCTTTGCTTCCTGCGGGACCCTTGATGCCAACATCACCCTTGAGGCCGCGGGGACCTGGGAGGCCTGGCACACCTGCAGGAGGAAGAGGGAGGAATGAGTGTGATGCATGGGGTATGGCTGTAACAGAGGGCCTGAGGACACTACCAGTGCTTCTTCCTGGAGTTGCACTTTTGGAGCCAAAGGCAGCAAGGGGCAGCGCTCAAAAGGGCTGAATTTGGTGCTCTTGGCACTTGGTGGGATGCCCTGGACAGGACTGGGAACAGTGGGTCCCTGCCACTATGCCTGAGAATGCAGGTGGATGGATGTCCCCAGGCCACTGAAGTCCCCACGGGAAGCTTTAGGCATCCTTGTCCTGGTCTGTCTGTGCCCTCCCCACCAGGACCAGCAGTGGGGTCACCTGCACCAAGGGGAAAGCTGCAGAGTGCTGAATCATAGGAATGTGGCACTTAGGGACATGGTTTGGTTTAGCAGACATGGTGGGGATGCATTGGAGTTGGACTTGGGGATCTTAGAGATCTCCAGCTGGAATGATTGCATGATTAGCACTGGAACAGGCTGCCCAGGGAGGTGGTGGAGTCTCCTTCTCTGGAGATGTTCAAGACCTGCCTGGATGCCTACCTGTGCGACCTGCTGTAGGGAACCTGCTTTGGCAGGGGGTTGGACTCGATGAGCTCTGGAGGTCCCTTCCAACCCCTACAATTCTGTGATTCATGAGTGAGCATGGTGGTGATGGTTAACAGCTGGGCTTGATGATCCTGGAAGCATTTTCCAACCTTCATGACTCTATGATTCCAAGACTGAGCCTCCAAACCTGTTTTCCCCCGTCAGGCACAGCCCCCAAACCCAACAGACCCAACCCCAACCCACGCTGAGATGCTCCTCACCTCGTAAGATGGTGATGTTCTTCAGCATCGCTCCATGCCGGACATCCACCACCTTCATCTCCTCCATCACCATGGACAGGTTGCGGATGTCGAAGTCAAGCCGGGCGCTGAGCAATCCAAAGCGCTCCCGCAGAAGGTCCGTGGTGCCCTGGACCAGGCTGAGGGACTTGTTCAGGTAGTAGAGCTCCTCAGCGTGGGCATGGAAACCCAAGGTGCAGGAGAGACGCACGTCATCCAGGTAGCGCAGCATGCTGTGCACGTGGCTGTCGGTGGCGTTGATGTTGGTGAAGATGGTGCCGATCTCGATCTCATGTGAGGCCATGCGGCCTTCCAGCGTCTCAAAGCGCTCAGCCGTGCGGTTCTGCGCATACTTGGTGTGGTAGCGCAGGTCGTTCATGTTCTCCTCGTGGTCATCCAGGAAGGAGGAGATGTTGTCCAGCTGCAGCTGCAGCCCCATCACCTGCAGCACCAGGTCGTGCATGCCCTCGGCGTTCTGGCCCACCTGCCGGGCTGCAGCACCCACGCCAGCTTGGATGCTCCTGACCAGCTCACCCGTCTCGGTGGAGGTGGCCCGCAGTCCTGCAAAGAGCCGCGTGTAGTTCTGCCACTCGGTGACCATCTTCTGCAGCGTCAACGTCTCCTCGTCCGTCTTCCTCTGGATGAGTTGGATCCAGTCCGAGGTTTGCCCCAAGGTGAAGTTGAGCTGCTGCATGGCGGCACGCACGTCAAAGCGCTCCTGTTCCAAGCCCTTGAGTGAGCCATCAAG